GCATGTTTGTAAGTATGGATCAGATTCAAATATAACACGTAGGATTTGGTTCTAATTTGTACACATCCTAAAACTGATAAAGTAACCATATACCGTTCAGATTCTGGATATATTGGTTTGGAAATCTAAAATCTAAAACCAAAATAAAAAGATACTTATTTTTGTAGAATTTGATATTAAAATACTTATTTAAAATTTAGATAATTAATTTTAAACAGAATTTTCAAATAACTATAGAACTAAATATTTAAACTAGATATATATGTTTCAAATATTTATATTTATGATTAATTTGAACATTCAGATGTATTTAGATTTTTTTCCAGATTTTTTTGTTTTTTTGGTTATTCATTCGGGTCTGGCTAATAACACTTTGATTCAGATATATTTGTACCACTCTACAAAACTCATTCTGATATAGTTTAGATTTTGACTATTACGGATCCAAACTTTTTTGTTTAGATTGAGTTTAGACGTCGGGTTATGAATTTTATGCACATGTCTACTTTATATAAAACAAAAATCTGGTCATATAAAATTTTCACTGAAAGATTATCCTATATTTTTAAAAATACTATGTTTGATGAAATTAATAAACTAAATAAGTCTATCTCACATTCTACATATATACGAACTGTGATTATATAAAGTTTGCATCAAACATAAATCCGCGCTTTCAAAGCGCGGGTCAAAATCTAGTGAAACTTTTATTTGAGAGACTTTGCACTGTGTGACGCAAGGTAATTATCTGGACAAGTGTTTCGCCTTATAGAGAGGGGAACACACTTGGGAGTTGTTGCATCCATTTCTGATAGGCGATGATAAGAAAAAAATTAGGAGTTTGATATCAATCTTTAATAGCGATTCTACTTGCTTTATTGAATCAAAATATTAAATTTCATGATCAACAAAAATGTTATATTTACATCAGAAGCAATGGCTTTCAAGCTAAAAACAAGTGATCATTCATGTTTCAACCATTTGGATACAGGCTTACATAAGAAGTTAACAGACCTAAAGAATGTAACATCAAATTCATTTTCGCTAGATATGGGACCAGTTTATGTTCAACATATCCGGTTGCATTGACCGACCAATCAACCAACGACCTTTTCAGTATATACAAAATCACCATATTGGATTTTATTCATAAGCAAGAGCCACCAAACACTTACAAAAAAAATCATTAATTCTCCACCGTTTTTAAACTTCATGGGACTCCACCATCATAACTTACACACCCAAAGACGTGAACCCCACGCAACACAATCCAATCCTATACTCACCAAAACAAAACAAGAAGTTCAAAGAGGATCACCACACCACAACAACAACGTAAAAAGCTTCGATACAATGAGAGTGAAAGCAACTTTGGTTAACTTCAAATCAAAGCTTTCAGAATCATGCAACAGATTTGTCTCTCTCTTCCGTTTCAGAGTTAAGAGACCTATCTTTATTAGACCTTTTCGTCGTTCTCGTCATGGAAATGTCAAACCTAGACATCGTCATCATCATCATGCCAAGAAGCCAATCTACTCTTCCTCTTGGCTGTCTTCTCTTTGTTTTCTCAGTACAAACAAAGACCAGAAGTTGAGCCAGACCAAACCTAGTAAGAAAACTTCTCTACAATGTTCAAAATAAAAATGTCTTATTAATAAGCTGAGACGTTATTAATCTGTTTATTATCCAAATGCAATGCAGTTAGTGTGAAAGATGATGATGATTATTCGAAGTTTATGCATTCGCCTCTTACGCCAGCAGCAGCAGCAGCCAAGAAGCTGTTCACTACACCCATCACGACACCTGTTTCTGCATCATGGACCAAGAAATCACTGAACTCAAGAGATACATTTGAAGACAATGCTGTAGAAGATGCTTGCAGAAGCTTTGAAAACTATCTTACTCATCTGGCTGAAGAAGGGAAAATGGATGACTTAATGGACATAGAGGAGGTTCTCCTCTGTTGGAAGAATCTTAAGAACCCTGTCTTTATTGAACTTGTCTCCAGATTCTATGGAGATCTCTGCAGAGACCTGCTTTCAGGTGAATGAACATATCCAACATTGATCAAAGCAAAAAGATTTTTTTTCTTTTTTCCTCAACCAAAGAAAACAAAGTTTATTATTGGTTTTGGGCAATCATTGAACACACCATTTTTAAGGTTTCCAAGTGCAAAGTAAAACTAAAATGTGTGAAGACTATAAAGGCTGTATTAAGTGTTAACTATAGGTCGAATCTTGAATGTGCAAAGAGTTACAAAGCAAATTATCATTTATTAATTATAAAATTCCTTACATACAAGACTTAATTTCTAAATAATTTGATCTGCAGAGCTGTTCTGGTCACCTTTCTGATTGAGAAAGATAAACCTAAAATCCAATCACTGAATCTCTAATCTTAAACCTTGGCATTGTGATGAACTCAACTCTTGGATCGCCTTGTCTTTCTTCTTCTTTTTCATTACCCACTACAGGTTCCATGTAGACATTTAAGAATCTTGTTCCTCTTCTTACAACAAAGACATTTTCTTGTAACGGTTCTTGGATTCCCAAACATAAATTGACTATAGTTGGCGAGGGAATCTCCCTTTCTGTCTTATCTGAGTTATTAATCTGTTTATTACCCTCAGGAATCTCCCTTTCTGTCTCTTCTTTGTTCTTTCTTCGAACGTAAGAACATGTAATACAACTTAATGAGTCTCGTTGTCAGGCCCATTTATATTATGTTGGCCCATATTAGGCCCTTTAGAAGCTAAAAATGATACGCCACGTGACATAAATGGTTGGTTCGGTCCGAGGGAGCGACATATCGACTAAACCATCCTTGTCAAAGGGAAGTGAGAGTTCCTGCTTTACCATCATGATTTCACTTGCAAATGTACACTTGTCGTGTAATAATCTCCACGTTTGTTCCAAAATCATGGAGGGAGCCGACACTTGAACATTTTATAACAAAATTCTACTATGTTCTATGTTACATCTTACTATATCTCTTCTTTATGATACTAAGCATTTATAACATCTTAAACAATACTCGCTCCGTTTTTTTTATATTTGAAGTTGTAGACAGATTTTTTTTTTCTATATTATTTTACGTTTTTAATTTTCTATATAAAATATATTAATGATTAATGTTAACTAAGAGTTTATATTTTATTATTGATTGAATTGTGGAAAGGTAAACGATTACTGATATTTTTGTTGAGAAATGAAAAAAAAAATATTTTTTATCTATGTAAATAATACTAAAACGTCAGATATAAAAAAAAAAACGAAAGGAGAATATAATATACCTATTTAGAATGATATTTTTGTGTTAAATGCATTTATACCATTTTCGTAGTAATTAAGAAACACACACATATATATAGAAAGAAATATATATATATATCATTTTGTAGAAATTCATCCATATATATATATGATTGAATACGACTATCTACAATACATCCAAGAATAGGAATATTTGTAAATCTAGTAGACTCTATGCTTCTTCCTTCTTTCTTTCTTTTTGATAGTATTTAATTACTCTGAATTATATCTTGGTAATTAATGAAGACGAAGAAGAAGAAGAGGAGGAGCTATGTGGTCCAAATACTGAAAACACACAAGGCATGAATTCAACACACTCGTGCATCTCTTGTCTCTTTCTCTTTTCAACTTTTGGCTTCCCTCCATCTGCCATTCTCCATCCTCTCTTTTTCTCTCCTCGGACCTGTTGTATCAGTATTCTATTGTTTTATTTGCATTTTTGTAGATATACATATGGTGTGATGACAAGAGAGCTCTCATATAAGATCTTCTCAAGAATTCCTACTATAGCGAAAAGGTTATCTACTATCAAGATGTACATAATTGTGTTGGTCATGAAATATAAGTAGGTGTGGTGAAATCTAGCAAAGTTTTTTTTATTATGTTTGATTAAGGAACGTTTATTTTTGGTGGATTTTTATCATGGTTTACTATGGACAAATTAAAGTATATATATGACAGAATAAATAAATAGAATTTATATGGGAGTGTATTCATCCTAGAATTATATTTATATTAAATAAATTTATTATAAAATTATATACCATTACACAAAATCTATTTTATTAAAACAGAATCTTGCGATTTTCTTATGTGTGATTTTTTAATTTGTATTATCTCTTCAAAATTATTAAATGTATGATTTGAAATTTTTGTATGAACAACCAACACTATTTAAATACATTATTTAAAAATAATAAACATTTTATTTTTAAACAGTTTTAAATTTGATCTCCAAATAAATGAAAAATATCTGCACAGTGTGTGAATTACATTTAAGTATCAATATTAGTAGAACCCTCGGAAAAAAATTGACGAAAATACAACCTCATTCAACATTGACAAAATATTATACTATATTTGAAGAAGATCGGGGAAATACAGTTGTTAAGGTATGCATGCACAGCCTTGCAAATGCCTGTGATTTGAGATCAGGACACCACCTACCAATGTACCAATTTGTTTCTTATGTTATATATTGAACGAATGCTGACGCGTTCTTCATTTGATTGGAGTGAAGATATGATCCTACGAAAATAGTGTAAAATTTATGCATGATTCTTGACATCTTTGAGTCATGCATAATAGATAGGAAACAATGAACGTCCCATCTGTCTCAGTCAAGAAACCAAATTAAATTTTTACTAACATGGTAAATTGAGAAAATTGTAGTGTGTCAGATCAATGTTTGTATTAACCCTTATTCTAAAAAAATAATTGAGAAGTGGTGTGTCAGGTCGCAGGGATAGAGATATTACCTTGGCATGTGACCATCTCCATATTTTCTCTATACACGAATATATTTTTGTATTCTCTCTTCGTCGACTGTTGCGGTTGATTATCTGTTAGGAATATTCAACCATAATAAGATATAACAATGATGATAAATAGTCACTCACCACAGTATCAGCTCATGTCCAATTTTTTTTTGTTTCCTTTCTTGAAATCTTTTGAATAGGATTTGAGTTATTCAATGTTTTTTTTCTGTTTCTGTGTGAGGATTATAAGTTTCCAACTGAAAAAAAAATTATTGGAGTACAAATATATTTTTCATAGTTGAACTCAAATTGCGACAAAGGGCAGTATACATCTTAAAATATAATTTAGATTTAGATATAACCACAATATAAAATTAGTTGAGTTATATATTGAAAGATGACCTAAATTATTTTACAAATTGATAAATTTTAACTATTATAGAAGGTAAAGTGATTCATTTTCAAATTATTCAAACATTTATACGAATAAAAACTAGTCAACTAAATTAATTATATATAAGTTTTCTCTATGAACAAAAACTATGCCACGAGCAGAACAACATTTGATCTCGTTTCAAAATTTTCTCGAGTCTTCGGATAATTATATATTCTTTTTTTTTTGTCAACGGATAATTTTATTCAAATAATATCTTTTGAATACCAATTTCCTAAAGACTGAGTTTAGCGTTAAAATAGCTCATGGCAGATCTAGCTAGGGAATTTGCATTAACAAGAACAACCAATTCTTCAGTGAAATTAGCTATATTTATTTAGTAAAAATAAGAGTCAGCTATTTTTCATCTTCGAATAGCACATCGTACTCAAATAGTTGAATCCATAATATCATAACGTATCCTATGTGCATGGATTTTTTCTTGAGAAAAAAAGATTAAACTTGATCTATTAAAAATACATATCTAATTTATGGGTGAAAATAGAATTCACGGATTAATTCTTTCTTAAACATAAAAGAGTCAAAATATAGCCTATATTTATGTGGTAAGTGAAGTTCGAATTAAAATTAGTCATATTGAGTTTATTTCCTTCAAAAGCCATTGGACTATCACCAGATTCCTATGTGCATGGATTCAAATATTTAATTGTCAAAATATGCAGTAGAATTGAAATGCTTTCACATACTAAACAGTATATGGTTATCAAAAATTATAAATTATACATTCTTTCAACATATATTAACTAGATAGGCATCACAGTTAGAGCTCAATCGTTCAACTTTTTTTTTAAACATATATTAACTAGATAGGCATCACAGTCAGGGCTCAATCGTTCCACTAAACCGCATTTATCTGTCACTAGAGTTTTTACCCGCACATTCGTGCGGGTATATTTTTCATTTTTAAAAATTTATTTAATCTTAATGTAAATATTTTAAATATAGAATTTATATTTTTATGTTATATATTTTGTAAATTTCATAATCTAATTGGTGTATGTTTTTACTCAACATTTTTAATATATAATATTCTTTAATTTTTTACTTTGAAATTTATAAAATAGTATAGTATGATATTATTAGTTACGAAATTCATTATTATGTTATTAATAATAAAATATTTAAATTTTTAGTAAGATTTTGTTAGATTTTCTCTCATCCGATTCTGTTATAAGTAAAAATAAAATGTAAATCTATTATTTTCAACATATATGATATATATTTGATTGGTTAACCTAAATAATTTAATATGTCATACTAAGTAATTAATGAAATGGTCCTATATGACTTCTTTGTAGTAGATAAAAATAATGACTCTATTTTAATAGAGTAGATACATTCGGATACAACAAATATTAGGAATAATATTTTAGGGGTTTGTTATCTTTTCTGAAAGTGAAATTTCTGATTAATTGCATAAATCGTAATATTTTTTTACAATACCTCTCCTTTAAACATGCATCTTACCAACATCTTTTTGTAGGAGACAACTCTTAAAAGTGCATTGAGATCTATCATAAAAATACTTTCTTATTTGATTAAAAGTGTCATTTTAACTTTATGTATACTGATTAAAAAATAATTAATTTTATATATTTTATATAAAACATAAATATCTATATACCTAATCATATTTCAATCAATAAAAAAATTAATTATATAATAAAATTAATAATTTTATATTAAAATTGAAACGACATTTATATTATAACATAAATTTTTATCTACTGTGAGAGAGTATTGATGATCATCAAATTCTTGCTTTGGTTACATTTATACTCTGTTTAAAAAATTGCTCTATATAGACA